CGGAAATATTAGCATTGGCAAACCTGTTTGGGAATAAAAAATTAGCCGCCGGGCGTCCTAATTTAATGATCACGCCATCATCGGCTGGTAACAAGTAAGTAGGGAGAGGTAGTGTTGGTGTGGTGGAGATCAAAATTAAATAGGCCAGAATCTGGACTAGCTGCAATGCTGCAACGGTGTAATACTAATATACGTTATCCTAATGGAGGATTTTTTTCCCTTAGTTTGATATATAGTTGATCATATGGCGTTGCGGTAGATATCAACACTACACTTTATTAAGTTGGGTAAACCCCCCCTATATTTCGTATAAGACAACCATATATCTTTGGTCAAATATGGAGCACATGTTACGATTAATTTTTAGAAAAACCCTAGCAAACAAACATGCATTTTCCGTTCCCCCCCCCCCCAATAATTTGTAAAATTTCACCCAAAAGGGAGCTGGTCTTATTGGAGACTGGGTGATGGTGTGTCTATAAAAACGATTGGAAATTGTTAGGAGTATGTGTATTTAATGACACAATTTGCGCCTCGAACATGTCGTATTTGTTTCATTTTACAGTACGTCGAGTTTCATTAAGCGCTAAATTCTGATGTTTCTAATAACTCTACTATATATTAATACCATAGCCTTTAATAACCGAAATACCCTGATCAGGCGCTCTAGCGTTCGATGAATGTCATCCTATCCTGTAGGCCTACATATTTACATCACCTGGGTGAAGAGTAGGAAATGTAGATTAAGTAAAGGACATGTGCCACTGCGGAACTTGAACCACGAACCATGGGGCCGGGGGGGGGGGGGGGAGAACGCAATTTCGCCCCCTCTCCAAAAAAAAAATAAAAAAATAGGAGTAACAAAACATGAGTTCCTGATCACTGGCGTGCTGATGGGGGGGGGGGGGGGGGGTGGATATTTCTAATCCGATACCAATGATTTACAAATGTTGCTGAAATGACATAATTTTCCGATATTCTTTGGCAATTTCTTTTTGTAAATAATGCCTTTTTAAGCGTTTGTTGGATATTTTCCAAATTTACAGTCGGGCGAAAAAATATGCTTATTTACAAGTTTTGATGTCAGGGCCTGCAGAACGGCGGGGCTCAGGGGCTCGAGTCTGCGTCACTTTTTTTAAAAAAGTATGTGAAAAAGAAAAAAGAAAGAAAGAGAGAGAAAAAAAAATGGGTGACCTGCAATTGTCTCAAATGAGGTATCAAAATATGCTCATCTGACCGTATTTAAATACCTAAAACCCCTGAGCTTCCGGGTGCTTTGCCCCCTGGACCCCAGCAAGGGCCCTAAGGCGGGCCCCTGGATGTTCATCAGACCGTAATTAAATACCCAAACCTCTGGGCTTCCGGGTGCCCAACCCCTTAACCCCCCCCCCCCCCCGGGCTCAGCCCCCTACGCCACGCTTCGCTCGCTACACTCTCCTGATCGTTAATACTCCACTTTATAAAATGTTTCGCGGGGCCTACATGTAACATGTAAGAGTGGTGGTGATGCAGACTTTTCTTCTGCCCCTAAAATTTTTGCTCATTACGCCACTGCCCCTGGAAGGTGAGCCCCCTGAAATTTTTGCCTTCCCCCCATTCCAAACTGCTTCCGGAGCCTGCCAAAGTAACTTGCGCTCAAGCATATCAGGTACCCATTTACACCTGGGTGCAGAGTGGAAAATGTAGATTAACGTCTTGACAAAGGACATTAGGGACGCGGCGGGACTTGAACCCCGCACCTTGTGATCTACAGTTGGGTGACTTATCCACTAGACCACAAGACCGGCGAAAGTGTCGGCGAAAGTTTGGAGATCAATCGACAACGTATTGTATATTATTTGCCCGGAAGACCCGTCGGTGATCAGTCTGAACACTGTAGCTATTCATTCGAAAACCAAGAAACCCTCTCGCAAACAAAAACGCACTGATGACCGATCACCGACCCCTCATTGCCTTTTAAAAATAATAATAAACCTGTTAGCGACCTCTGACATCTAACTCACAACCAGTGGTTGTCTGGAGTCTCCGGCGGGTTTTAACTCTAGTGTTACTTAGTCTTTACCAAGAATCAATGTTGGTTGGTTTGTTAGTTGGTTTTATTACAGTAATGATATATGTAATACACAAATCACAATACATAAAAAAACAAAACACAGAAATATTTTACATTGACTATTCTAGAAAAACAAAATATCGACATTGAAATGAAGATCGACAGATTACCCACTTCAGATCAACCGACAAAGTTTATCAGTTCCTCCTTAGTGTCACAAAATGGCTACAATAAATTGATTAATCATTAATAATAATGACAGTAAAATAATGTAAACAAAACGAAACAAAGAACGATTATCATCATATCAACAATATATATTACAAGAAACTACACCACCCACCATTCCTTCATATTTACGCTTCATATTATATTTAATATTTTCAAGGTAGTCATTTTTACTTCTTATTTTAAATGTCAACTTTTCTCGTCCTTTTTGAGGACTCCATATTCCCAGTAGTTCGAGTGCATGTTTGTAGGGATGGTATTGCGGTTCAAGCACAAGATGGTATATTCGTTTTTGGACTTTTTCTATCTTTTGGGGGGTTATATTCTGTTACACTGGGATGCCAAACAGAGGCACATTATACTTCAAAGGGCCGTGCATAAGAGCAGATTCTATATCACTTGTACGAAATTTAAATCCTTTCAATATTCGGACCATGTGTAGCCTTGTATTTGCTCGCTTGAAAATTTCATTTACATGACTTGACAACCTTAGGTCATTCTGTACTAGCACTCCGAGTAATAGGGACTTTTAGATTCTGCACGACGAGAACGTGGACTGCCCTTTTAAGGCAATGTGACGTCACTGCCAGCGCCTTAAAAGGACGCCACATTGCCTTAAAAGGGCAGTCCACGTTCTTGTCGTGCAAAATCTAAAAGTCCCTAATTTCAAAACTGTGAGTTCACTCAATTCATGATTATAAATGCGTAATGTGGGTGTCTCAATCTCTGATCGCATGAAGTAAACATTCATAAAAACACTTTTCATCGGGTTTTCTTTCTTGCTTTCTCGGTTCTGTCTACACTTGAAGCTCATTTACATTGTTTTGTACGGTAGAAGGTCCTTTTATTTTCCTGCACTCCTAGAGAGTGTTTCACAAAGACTAAGCTCAACTTTAAATTGGACTTAACTATGGCAGGCTGTTCATGCCACTGTTTGCTCTCACCATTTACTGGCATTGGTCTCTCAAAAGACGTACAAATCACGGTAACAAATCCACAGAATTTACATTATTGATAATTCATTATTGATGGAAAAAATATTATCTAAAGATCATGATAGTGAGAGCAATCAATGGCATGACTGGATTAGTCTTTGTGAAACACCCCCAGTAGTGATATGTTGTATCCGTACTTCAAGTTGGGATGTTCGAGAATGAAAGCAGAATTGGCAGGACAAGGACATCAATAATACTACCGAAAAAGTGTCTTCATGACTTGCCGAGTTATGCACATGAACACATGTACTCGTGTTTGTGTGTGTGTGTATTGGGTTTTTACAGACGTGTAACAATCAGATATGATTTTTTACGTCTGGGGACCGACCTTTAAACGTCACCATCCGGAAGACGTGACTCAGTTTTGAACCTGCGTCTTCGGCTGAATCAGTTTGTAACTTCACTGTAAGCTGGATTACAGGTGCACGCCACAACGCCTAGTTAAAGGTCCATATTTATAGTGCATTTAACACTGAAAATCCATCGTTTTACATGGTATATGGATACACATATACACTCATAAACAAACTGAATAAAAACCAAACCAAAAACAAATCAATAAACAATCAAACAAAGATGTAGTCATACATCTAAAATAATATACATGTATACCAATTCAAGTGGAATAAAGATAACTATAATAGGTATTAATAATATATTGTTAATTTTATCATTATTATTATTATTATTGTTATTGTTATTTTTATTATTATTATAATTATTACTAATATTGTCAGTGATGTCATCTTCATCATTAGATTATTATCAATATTATGATTACTGTTATTGTTATGAAAAGGTATAATCAGTGTTACTATTATTGTCATCGTTATTATTAACAAAATTCAACATCAATTTTCTGTAACTTGGCATAATGTGGAATAAAATAACAAACTCGTTATTTCCCTATACCACGTGTGTAAGCAATTCAATCGGGCAATTCTTCCAGAACGAATATCATATAGGGCCTATATTTTGAAATTATATTATACACAAAGAAGCTAGCTTCGGACAGGGAAAAAAATCATCATTATCCAAATTATTTTTTCTAATAGCATAAACCTTTCATGTTTTGAGGTCACGTGTATAAAATTAGAATTACCCATATAAAGAATAGCAACGAGTAAATCAAATGAGGGCCATAACGCAACAAAATGGAGAATACTGAGTATTTATAGGTTTGGTGTAGCTGGTCAAAACTTTTACTTAAGCTTCTGACATTTACATTCAGTATCGAAAACTATTTTCCCCGTATATTTGATGGGATTGAATTGATTAAGAGTAAAATATTTCGACGAGGATAATTTGGTTACAGAGCCATTTGAGTCAATATGAAATAAGTACCCGTGTAAGTTATTAATGGGTTTATCGGAAATATCTGCTTCAATATCTGTCCTGTTACGGAGGAAGTTAAAAGCTGCATTTTGTGTATGTACTGGCAGAGTAAATGAAGGAGTCGTCATGCTGCATAGAGTACCGTAGCTGTGACGTCATTAAAATCTATTTTTAGAGTTTCTCAATTCGTTCTTCATTTTCCAAAAGAGCATACAAAATAATGTCCAAATGCCGAAAACCAATTTAATATGTTAGGTATTGACTGAGATATGACCATCTGAATAAATATATGTCCTATGGGAACTCAGTGTTATATGCTCTGACTCCTAATCTTTCGGAAAACGAAGAAAAAAATTTGAGAAATTCTAAAAATAGACTTTTGATGACGTCACACTTCATCACTCTATAGAATAAAATGGTAGCTTGCTCATATCAGCCATAGCTATATATTAAAGTCAGGTATTTTTTGTCGGCACGTTTTAAGTATTTTATATGGTGTGTGGCATTTTGGTACGTGGCCCTCGCGCAAGGAGTAATACGAAAAGATTGGTGGTTGAAATGAAACGTAATGAACATGGAAGAAAACGCAAAGTACATAATAAAAAATAAAACAAAAAAGATGTTGATAGAAGTAAACAAACATAAGAATGGGGAGGTACAAAATATGTCTATCTTATGTATTCTATTAGACAATATAATGAATAGTATTCATAATAAAATAAGCCAAAATCATTGATGTGATTTCTAAATTTCTACCCTAACTTATTCCCCAGAGACATCTTAATGGATAGTCTGCCTTTAGGACATGAGACTCATTATCGATAGTAGCAGCACTACAAGTCAAAAGATTTCTTCTAAACGCATGTCTGCATGCTCACAGAGTGCCCTCAGACATGGAAACTAAACACACCCGTGCCTAGCCCATGTGACTCCTCTGCTGAGCCTCCACCTACATGCACTTACTTACGTTACTGGTTGCTAGTCCTGATAAGCTTGACGTAGCAGCAATTAATATATGCAACGCAAACCCCAATAAAAGAAACACAAATACTAGGTACAGGTGAGCTTATCTTGTCCGAGACATTTCCAAGCTTTCTCCATTTCCTGCGCTGATACCTCAATCTTTAAATAATCCTGTTCTTTCTTTTGCGGGTGGTGGTCTTTAAACCATGTAGATCGGTCAACGATTCCGATGCTTAACTTGTCCAATAGTATACCGCAATAAACATCGTCAAACGGTATCCTCGCTGGGGTTTCTCTGGATATCAGAAACAGTTTTTCGACTACGGGATGTGACATAACATACCCATGCCCGTATGGAAATAGAGGGTACGTCTTATCAGGGTAGATGTCCTCTGGTATGTACCATTTACTATCTACGTTACGAAATGGTTTACACCCCTCTTCAGTATATCCAAGCACGAATTGAGAATGATTCTTCGAGGGTAAAGCGTCGAGGTCGTTGACCAGGGTCACGATATCAACCATGACATCGTCATCCACTGACATTAAGAATTCACTGTTGTTGCAAAACTGCAAGGCCCATTTAAACCCCATGACGAGTTTGACGGTGAGATTGTAATAACTATCGTGGAAGCCCACCTTCAGGATATCTCTATGTCTTCGGGCCTCTTCCTGAATGTTTTCCCTCTCGTCCTGTGCTTCGGAATCTCCCACGATAAAAAGCAACCTAGTGGACACATTAAATGTCGCGGCCCCACTGATGTACGTCTTTCTGGCAGCATCCCTGCGTTCAGTATTACCTGGTGCTGATTTGATTAAGACAAGTAATGTGATTTTATCTTTTCCAGTGTTGCACTTGTCGACAGGATTGATTAAAAAGTCATATATATCCAGCTCAGCTCCTGGCTCCCAGTGTACATTTTTCTGCCATTCAACAGCGGTCGCATTTTTGTTTGTCACACTTGAAAAACCTGCTCTTGGTGGTAATCTTCCTTTGGTGACTGTTTGTAATCGATAAGACGTGTAGTAGCTATGGTAAACGAGAGTACATGTAGTAACAATGCAATACGCAAAAATCATTAGCATTGCCCTCATATATCTCATCGTGTTAACTGGTTAATTCCACTGATAAGAAGAGAAGGGTCCATTAGTATGCCGGCTAATTATTGATGATTGTGTTTTTCAGAGATAGATCCAGTCTTCATATCCAACTGCGGTTGCGTTTATCTAGCAAATTTTTGGCTAGAATCAGGTTTCTCAAACGTCTTTCAGGCAAATTTAGAAGTAGATAAACGCAAAGCCTTTTTCAAACGTCTTTAGATATGGGCATATCTAAGGACGCAAAAAGGTGCGTTTTGAATGTGACATACAGCCAGAATCACGTTTCTGAGAGATCGATAAACGCAAAGCTGCTTTGAACCTCACATACAAATATGATCACCCAGGTGTTGTGTACAAGCATACGTGTGAAGTTGACCTCCGAGAAACTGTCTGCTTCCCGGGTCAAAACAGCTGGGCAGACACAAGGCCTTTATTTTGAATCGTGAAGGGTCGATAAACGCGACATCCCGCAAATCACGATCGTATGGTGGGGTACGATAGTGGGGTTCGATAGTGGGGTACGATATGTACATATCTAGTGGCAAGCCTAGATAAACGCGCTCTGCGTTAACGTGTTGGTCTCTTACTGTTGTTAAATTGGTTACATGTGGTAGTTGATCACAATGATAAGAACGTGGCGAGCATTTGAAATACTGTCGATATTGCCAATCAGTCACTCCAATTATACAAAGTGTCCTCATTTGATTGTTTTACAGACGAAGATACGACCCACCTCTTTAACATTCGGTCACTGCAGCCACGCGATGAGTTGAAGTGCTCTCTGCTCAGTTAGCGAATGTAGAGATACGGGAGATGTGAACATTATTGGCCGGAAACACAAACTTAAAGAGAAGGTTGAGTTCTGTGAAGAGGTGAAAAATAATTTGTGAGCGTTATCATTCTTATTATGCAAGTGTGGAAGAACATCAGATAAGACATGTTCCCTGAAAAGCAAGGCTCTTCAAATGACTTCATATTTTAAATATTTCATGTAACATCGTAAAACTCGGGGGTAGGATTTTTACGCCACGTGTTCATGTAGTCCTATATACATCTTTCTGTGTACAGTGTTTGGATTTTACCAAGACTTGGCCAAATTTCTTATCATTTTGATGATTCCAGAACCTTGCAATACACACAAATTCTTATATGCTAGATGATCAACCATTTCTGGTCGATTCCACACCGTTTCTTTCACAATGCAATCGCATGACCAGAACTCAACTTCATCTTTAACAATGTTGCCAATCAGTGGAGTCTGTTTGTCCTCAAAGTGCAATAGATGAAGACAGACCGTTATCTTAGTGTTAATGCTTCCATGTGACTCACTTCATATGTTTTCAGAAAGTTATTGATTAAAGTAAAGACTCAGAGAAATTGATAAACAAAGTTCCTAGCAGTATAAACTGTAACTATAAAGTATGAACCAGGGGGGAGTTTTCACAAAGACCCTAAGTCCAACTTAAGTCCAACTTAACTCTAAGTTGGACTTAACAAAAATGGAGAGCCATTTTTGGCCTTAAAATAAAATATATTCACAAGCCAAAAAATCAAGTATTTTAGACTTTTTATAAATTCAACATCAAGAACATGAAATCTCCTTGATAATAGAAAATATAAATGATTTGAATCAACATTTTATGCCTTTTAAAATAACTTTTGAAAATTTTTGTATAGATGCTGACGGCTTTCCATAGTTGTTAAGTCCAACTTAGAGATAAGTTCAACTTAGGATCTTTGTGAAACACCCCCCAGATTTGCACAAGCGTTTCATGAAGAGAAGCAAGAAAATATTATTCCAACGTTATGATTAACACTGTATATCGCCAGGTATACTTGTTTGTACATCCGGATACAGTAACATTTGCTATTATAATCGTTTACGAGTGTTTTCACTCATAATACCTCCTCCTCAATTTCCTATGTTCATTGAAAAATGATCATGCCATTCAGTTAGTCTAAAAATACTAAACTTTTGTTCTATTCGAATTCAAATGCATAATTGAAATTATTTTAAGCAGCCCGCAGTCACATAAATAAAGCACTGTTAGGTTTCAAGCTTCAAAGGCCTTTGTGTTAATCGTATCACGTTGCCTGCACATGCTCTATCAGTCGGTCATAAAGGCCCGGTCGCACAGAGGGGACGCATGGGGGACGCCCGGCCAGCGCATTGGAAATTTGCAATTTTGGCCAGTGCGCTGTCGTTCGCTAGGTGTGCGTCATCGTTCGTTACTCGTTCGTCAAGCGCGCTGGACCAACGCTGGACCAACGCTATGCATTCGTCGTCATTCGCTGTGTGCGTCGGGAATTTTTAGCATGCTCAAAAGTGTGCACGGAGCTCGGCGCATAAATGAACACGCCAAAGGCACGCGAGACATGCGCGGAGCGCAATAGACCAACGCCAGATATACGTGTAGCACAAGCCCTGTATACGCGCTATGCATTCGGTGTCAGCTCGGTAGCTTCTCCCAAATCCTGACAAAAGTCGGAATCACGACTTTTTCCGATTGTAAATGCGCCGGCCGTGCGCCCCCCCCCCCCCCTCCATGCGTCCCCTCTGTGTGACCGGGCCTTTAGACTTAAATACTCGTTTTGAACAAGAAAGCTCCATGTAGCCCTGTGTACATTAGGCATATTCCGCTCTGCCATGGCGTAACGGGGGCACATTATAGGGATCTTACAATCTCATTGTATTTCATCATTAGGGATAACGAAATGGCCAGAAACGTTCTGGGATTATCAAGTGCGTATTTGTTTTCGGATAAATCTCTCTTTTTTAAATTAATATCATAGTTTGCCTTTTTGTAGACATTTTAATGCCTAAATCACCCTCCTTTTTACCGAGAAGTCGCGAGCAGACGATTTTCGCTTAAAACTGTACTAACAATAGTAAATTATATTCCTACAATCGTTTTATATAAAGAAGGAAAAATGCAATTCCATTGTAACCAAAGAAAATCTATCTGGAAGCGACTGGGAAACGAATTCGTTTAAATAAATTATGGAAATGCAAGCATTACTTTAAACAGAGTGAACTTTGTTATTCCTGGCTCATTTTTCATGATTGATGTGTCATATGAAGGGGCTAAAAGTAAACTTTCTGGAAATGTGATTTCCTCTTTTAAATTCAGATACCATCCGCCAAATCACTTTTTGATACCCTTATTTCAAATTGATTTTAATCACTCATGCAAGACTATATGCATCATATGAGTTGCATCAAATGAAAGAAGAGGATCTAAGCTTTACTAATATATGTCATTTGTTAATTATAATTGTGATTAAGTTATGATAGGGACGCATGGTATAAGTTAATTCCTGTTGATGTACAGGGCTGCATATAACTCCTTTTTTAATTCAAGTTTCTAGATATATTTCATAGATTATTGTATATTTTTAAACATAGTTTTCTCAGATCTGCTAAGCTCCACCCTAAACAAATTGCACCAAATCTCATGTATTTTGTGACATCATATGTCAATCATTAGTGAGCTTACACGAGATAGTAGTATGTAACTTCCCCCAGCTAAGCACATGCTCACAAAAGAACTGCATTCTTTCATACAATACCTCCACATACCTTTCTTTTCATTGTGATGCTACAGCATGTCTGACATAGCACCTCCTATGTGGTATTGTATGGTCTATTGTAAACAGGTGGTCAACGTATTTGTATAGTCTCATTTACACATTCCGTGTAAAGTGCAAGTGACTTTAAGAAGACTGAGCCCATCTTGTATCCCACCAAGATACAGTGATTTTTATTATAATCATTAATTTATTTTTTACACGTGGTTACTTCCTCCTCAATATCCCTTTAATTAATTGAAAAGTGGTTATAATATTAGCCATAGTTATATATAGCCACTGTAACAGAGATATTTACGAATAAAGAGTTTCACTTTCGGTCAGGATAAACTGGATTGATAAGGCCATGCAAATGTAATAGGGACTTTTAGATTTGTGTGGACTGATACGTGTGACGTCCATTCAAGGCAGTGCATTAAATGGACGTCGACCGTAGCAATCCCCATTGTCTTCGTGTAAAAATCTAAAAGTCCCTAATATTGCTTCAGTTTATCCACTGAAAGTGAAATTCATTGACGATTTATGCATGCATCATAATGATTCATGGTCAAATTAACCCGTTGACTACTGAATTATCTAATTCCCATAGGCTTAACACAGGGACCACCAGGTTCCAGCAGGCGATGGGTTAACACCTGACTCAATAGGGACTTTTAGATTTGCGTGGACTGAAACGTGTGACGTCCATTCAAGACAGTGCATTAAAAGGACGTCGATCGTAGCATAGACCTATTGTCTTGGTGCGAATCGAAAAGTCCCTAATGTCCATCGTGACTCACGTGGCGGAATTTAATTGTACTTGTCCCTTGAGCATGATGAGAATAGGGACTTTTAGATTTGCACGTCGACATAGTAGACTGCTACCTGTGATGTCCTTTTAGGGCAGTGCCTTAAAAGGACGTCACATTAGGGACTTTTAGATTGAGTGGACGAGAACACGGCGAACGCCGACTGATCATGCGTGTCAACGTACTCAACCTCCCATGTTGACTACAATTAGAAATCTTTTAGATTGCACTCGACGATATACATGCATGAAGAAAGTAACACTGTGATTATGACAGACAAAGAAAGAAGACAAAATATACAGTTCTTCATTCTACCCTCAACAATAGACTATTTTCGTAATGTAACCAAATTTAATGCACAAGTCCTTGGAAGTACCTCAATACAAATTATTTCATTCACCTGATAAGAATAATAGTAATTCAATGGTCAGAATGCAAACTGCATATATCAAGTGTTGTTAGGTAGGTCAAGCCATAATGTTTGTCCAACCTGGCAACAACTAATGTATGCAGTTTGGATTATGTCTATTGAAATACTATTGTTCTTACCAGG